TTTCCTTCATGTGCTTTTACCTTATGTAACTTAATTTGTAGTTTCAATTCATCTATAATTTCTTTTATAGTCTGAAGCATAATAGGATTTTTGACATCTTTCCATATATAATTTATTTTTCCTTTATTGACTTTGTTCATATTATCTATAGCACACTTGCTATCTTTGTAAAATATGGTGAACGTATATCATATTAATTTTTATTAATAAAATTAGCCGATCTTTGACACTTTAAAATATTTATATTTTATTATTATGCATAAATACTAAAACTTAATAAGGTTTATTCATAAAATCAGTTTTAACTATTAAACTCTGAAATAATTTTCTAAAAAAACACAATAACATAAATATTTTACATCTTTCACACATTAATTTACTTCTTCAATAAGTTCTTCGCATTTTTATTGATTTTATCTTTCGACAAACGCTTTTCTGTAAGTTTTTTTAAAAGATCTTTGTGAAATTGATGTTGTAGTTCGCCTGAAAGTTTATATTCGAATGTTTAAGCGAAACTTTTTATATTATTTTACTCTGGGAAGTTTACGGAAATATTTTTTTTTAAAAAAAAATGATTTTAAATAATATACACATTAAAAGAATAAAATAATATATTGTTAATATTAACTATTGAAAGTCCAAATAAAAAATACATATATTCAATAGATATAAAACTATATTCTAGATACTTCATAATTACAAAATTATCTAAAGTAAATAAAGGTTGAATTATGAAAACAGGCATTTTTTTTTGCAAGAATGAACGGAAAATACATTCGATTTTTTATTTTTATATTACAATAGTTATTATTAGTCATAAAGGCAGCAAAGAATTAGATTTTTCTATTATTTTTAATACTTTCATACGTAACTTGCTGCGAATTTTTAGATACTTAATACAAAAACATATATGGCAGCTTGATTTATATTTTATTTATACTTGACACATAATTTAAGAAACAATGATGAATACCGCCAATCTAGTTTTGCCTTTTAACTTAATATTAATTTATGGAAAAGTCTATATTTATTTTAACTTTGAGTTCGATAAATTTCAATTATTATTAAAGTTACTTCATTTTTACCATTCTATATAAAATAATCTTTTAATTTATTATTTATATTTGCTAGTAAAAGTTCCAAATTAATTAAGTTTACACTAATTACAGTATAATGACTTATAGTTCATATCTATGGGATGAAGAAATTAAATTTCATATATATAAAATTATTTTCTAGGGATTGAAATTTCTAACTAGTTTTCTTAATAACCTTAAATACTTCATAATCAACAATCGAGAAATTAATAGGTGCTGCTGTTCTTATAGGTTTTTCATAATAATTGCAATTTTTATTACATATGCAAGTATCATCTAATATAAAATTAGAACTAGGACTATACATATAAAGATTATACCCAAAACGTGGACCATGATATTTATGACTACCCTTAACATCAAAATTATAAATTGCACGTTCACAAACTATTACTCTACTAAGAATGGAATTTTGTATATTGCCATTTTTCAATGAGAAAATAAAACTATCTTCAGTTTTTTTCCAAATATCATTCCCAACATTAGAATCCCAAATTAAAGGATTATAACCTCCAAGGATTTCTTCTCTTCCTTTAACTTTCATGATCACTACAGTATTAGCATGACCATGGCAGGTATCCCAAAAAGTTTGAGGTGCAAATCCATTTATACTTCCTCTTAAAATTAATTGAAATTTATATGGAGTGTTTGCTAAAGAATAAGTACTTGATTTACGATCAATCCAAGAGGAAATTTCGGATACATGTTCATAATTAATAATGGTATAAAATGTATTTGTCGGTTCCGTTATATGGGTAGGAAATTTTTGAATAATTTTTGTTCTTAGTGGTAAAATTATTGATTTGACTGGAACAATAAGATGTTGATTCAAATCTTTCCACAATTGTTTATCAAAAATTTTCTTGTAAGGCTTAACTTTACTCCAAAAGTCTGCATTAAAAATATGGAAATATCGAATTAATGGTAGGGATTGTTGAAGAGTAGTTTTTAAGGTTGTAAAGTTTTCATTGGTCCATTCTTCAAGGCCTACAGGTAAATTGGGATTCTGAGCAATTCCCCATTTTATAATATATTCCCAAATTATTACTTCTTCTAGTTGTAAATCATCTCGTTTGAGGAGAGAAACCAATGCAGATTCTTGAAGAGAAGCGAAATCTTCAGCATCAAAAATAAGATTTGGATACTTTGTAATAATGTCATTACAAAAATTTTCCAAATTTTTGAAATTATTTCCTTTAAAAATTGAACAATAAATTAGAGAAAAATGAGACTTTAACCAAGAACTTTTAGTTCCAATCAGAAAATTTTCTAGTTTTTTGGATAATTCTTCGATTTCAAATTCATTAGCTGACATCATTAAATCAAAAATAAATCTTGTTTCAACATTCTCAAAATTAACAATTCCACCATAAATATATCTTATAAAATAAAAATTAAATATTAATTTACGTAACTCATTATAATTAATAATAGCAATACTAAAGAAAAACTCACTTAAGTATCATCTCAAAAATTTCATATGAAATATTTGGTTTAATAATTGTCTTGATATTGTTTTCATTTGGGATTATATTTTCTAACTCTTTACGAAAATAAGGTGAACGACACTTCAACACATTAGAATGAACTGTGAATGATTTCTTATTTTTAACTTCAATGATTACATTATAATCCTCTATATCATTGAAATTTTGGGATAATTTGTCAAAAAATTTAAAAACACTCTCACAAAAACACATTTTATTTGAAAAATGTGGAATAATCAATTTTTTATATAATGAATGCAAGTAAGGCAAATTATTAACAAGGTACAAACGGCTAAAATTCTAAAAGGGTATCAATTCAGCCGTGCTATCAACCATCAATTGATCGATCTAAACCTGAAATGGAGTTACGAACCTTAATGTTTGTAATATTAATTAATTGGACAATAGTATTTATTTATAGTAAAGTTTTTTATTTTAAGAGAATATTTTAGACTGACCGACGAGCAAATTAATTTATATAGTGATAAAATTCCCACATATGGTTAGAGTAGTGTATTTATCATTATCGTCAAGTGTCACACCGTTCGAATACGTATCAATTTTAATTGATGAATTCAGAGGGTGGAAAATTTCTGGTGATACTTGGTAGTTCGATTTTATATTAATTTTCATCCTTTTTTTTTTACTTCGCTTATAAGGTTATAAGGCAACCATGTAACTATAAATGATTGCATTTTTCATTAATAAAAATGTTTCATGAGTCTTTAAAAATATTCTGATAAATTCGAACAGATTAGCGTATAGCGGTTTCTATATAATAAAATATTGTGTTCTTTTTTAAAATTTTCATTTACTCATTTAGTGTTTCCTATATATAAATGAAATAATACAAAATTCTTTTGGAATAACTGTCTATTTTAATCTAATAAAAGTATTAATAATATTATTTTGCAGTTTCAAGTATTAAAAATTTATTTTTTAATATTTACATAAAATTGACTAAATTACTGTCTTTGCAACTTTAAAAAAATATTTTCTTCTTATAGTTTTACTATTAAGAACATATATTTATCTCTACTTTTATTAAGATTCTAAAAAAGAATAGCTTTAAAGCAAAATTTCATCTATAAGTGAAATGATAAAAAAATTAACAGAATAATTACCTTTTTGACCATAGAAAAACTTTTTCCTCTCGTAGAATTACATGTATTACTATTGTTATAACTTTGAAGTAGAGTATTTTAAGCGAATTTTTGGTGAATTTAAATAGAAAGCTTATTTTTAGAAGAATAAAAACAATAAAATGGTTAAGAGCATGATGTTTAACCACTTTACTTAGGATATATAAACACGGTATATTACTTTTTCAATAAAGTGAAAATGTTCGCGATGGTTACATAAAATTTTTAACTACCTCAAGAGGTTATAGAAAAATTGATCAACTCAACTTTTACATTAAAACTTTATACCCAAAAATAGAAGATCTTATCAAACAATATTATTTAATAGTTTTTTATTATTTTTATATTTATTACACACACTTTGATCTCCCCTATTTGGAACTCGTTCTGTAATTTCGGGTTTATTAAGTACTACATCCATTAAGATGTAAATAAGCCAGCACAGAATAAAAAAATTTTCAGCAACGAAAAATCATAGAAGAGATTGATTTATAAAAAAATGTAGAAAAATAAAAAACAAAAAAAAAATAGGAAATCAACGAAAAGATAACTGCTAAATGAAATGAAAAATGAATAATTATTTGATACTTTTTATTTTCATTTGTTCATAAGAATTTCGATTCAATTTTGAATAACTTCTATTTTTTTTTTTATAAGAGAAGAGGAATGAAAGAACAATAAATTCCATTTTTTAGATCTACATTTAAAGTGGGATTCTGACCAATTCCGCACTTATAATATATTATTACCAGTTTTAAATCTTGTTTGAGAAGAGATATCAAATGAAGAGAAATAAAATATTCAAAATCAAAAATAAGATTTGGATGCTTTGCAATAATGTTTTTGCAAAAATTTTCTAAATCTTTGAACGAAAATCTAGGCTTTAACCATGAACTTTCTAAATTCTTGATCAACTCTTCGATTTCAAATTCAAAATTAAAATATAAATGTAAAAATAAATTAACAATAAATTATTTATTTTCCTTTTTGTATTTATGTATTTATCCCGCTTTTTTAAATAAAATATTTAATCATGACAATTATATATATCATACTAATTTTCAGTAAATCTAACTTTAGATCACTTTAAAAACATCATACTATAACTGATTGTTTCTGAAATATTTCAGTTTTTTTTTTTTATTTCAGTTTTTAAGCTCATTCATCCAATTTTTTATAAAATTTTGTAAGAATATTTTTTATTTAAAAAATCATATATATAATCGATCATTAAATATGTCGATCAAAAGAGAAAACGGTAATATATAAGTATGTTTACATATCTGTGAGAAAAAAATCAAATAAATCCTTAGTTTTAATATAAAATATTTGAAAATAAATTTAAAAATCAGAAAAAATTTTCCGATTCTTCGTCGTCGCCGTCTTCTTCTCTTCCGAAAAGACAAAATAAATTCTTCTAGTTTCGACTCTACTACTACTGAATTTAAATCATCTCCTCAATCTCCATCATCCCATCCACCACCATCACCATTTCATCATCATCATCATCAATCGGTTGAAGACCTCGTTTGATTTGGACTAAAGAAGAAGAAGAAGCTTTGTTTAACACTGTTAATTCAGTGTTAGCACAATGGAAAGATATTTGCACAAAAAATCCTATACTAAAAGCTCGCAGAACTAGTATAGTCACTCAAAGGTTTAAGATTCGTTATTCTGTTGGTGGCAATGCAGAAAGAACCAAGCAATACTTAATTTAAACATTAATTATGGATTTTGAATATTTATAAATGTCAAAAATTGCAGACAGAAAAAATAAATAAATAAATATTTAACATTAATAAAAAATGATTTTTCAAATTCCATAATTCCATATGTCATATGCAACATAATTGACCGTAAGAACATATTTTTAATGTATTAACGAAAATTCTCACAAAGAGATGTCCATTAAAAAAATTATTTATGCAGATTATTTTCTAAGGATTGAAACTTCTAACTTAAAATACTTCATAATCAAAAATTAAAAAATGATATTTTGCTGTTGTTCTGATAGGTTTTTAATAATGACCCAACTTGTTGTAACTATCCATAGTAAAATAAATCTATAGTAAAATAAGAGGTAGGCCCTAAAGTCTTTTGATTACTTATGTCCAAAACTAAATTTACTAAGAATTGAATTTTGTATATTTGCCATTTTTCAATGAGAAAATAAAGCTATCATTAGTTTTTTTCTGACATCATATTCATCAGTATTATCCCAAGCCTAAGGTGAAGGATTGTATCCTCCGAGGATTTCGTCTGTTCCTTCAACTTTTATAATTACTACAGTACTACTATAATAGTATAGCTGTGACATTTGTCCCAAAAAGTTTGAGTTGCAAATCCATTTATATACTTTTAATTGAAAATATAAAGAATAAGTGCATAATTTACAATCAATCTAAGAGGAAATTTTGCTATATGTTCATAAGTAATAATGGTGGAAGATGGTTTTATTAATTCTTTTGTATGGATAGGTAATTTTTATTAATATTATTGATTGATTAGGGTTCATCAGATATTGTTCATATCGAGAATTTTGTTGTAAGGCTTTATATTTTTCAAAACATCAAACCAGGAAATGAATTAGAAGCAGGCATTGTTGAAGAGAAGTTTTTAAGTTGTAAAATTTTCATTGTCCTTTCTTTAAAGTATACAGGTAAAGTGAAATTTTGAGCAATTCACAACTTAAAATATCATCGAGAAAAATGAGACTTTAACCAAGAACTTAATGATGACAGCTAATGAACTTGAACTACCAAGAAATTGGAAATCATCTTATAAGTCAAAAATAAATTTTTTTACATTCCCTAAAATCAACTTATTGTTGTTATCAATAATATTAAAGAATTTTAAAAACTTACTTGAGAAATAATATAAAAAATTTCATATAAAATATTTGGCTAAATAATTGTTTTGATATTTTCATTTTAATGATATTTTTCAACACTTTACAAAAAGTAAAGAGAGCGACACTCCAATGCATTATAATCATTTTACATCAAGAAGTTCAATAAGATTTTGTGGTAATTTATTAAAAATTTGAGACATTTTTTTAATGTAAAATTTGGGGTATCCTTTTATTTCCATCTCTTTACCAATTGTTTATTATATGACATCATTTAAAAATTCAGTTTACGCCAATTAAAACTGTACTGTACGTCACGAATAAAATTAATTTATGAAGATTAAATATTGTTGTGAAGTATGCCGATAAGCTGAACTTTACGAATTTTTAAGCGTATATTTAACTTTTCTTACTACACGGTTTATCGTCGTACCTTAAAAATTTCTATTTAGATATTTTTCACGTAACCATATCATACATAGAGTTGTACACCAAATATAGCTTAAAATTTTAAAAATGGAAGATACAATTTATATTTGCTGAAATATATATGGGATACTTCAAAATTATTTAATAATATACTCAATAATAAAAGAATAAAAAAATATTGATGACAACAAGTATCAAATCATTAATTATTTGGTTTTCTCAATATCTTAAATACTTCATAATCAACAATTGAGAAATTAATTGTTCTAATTAGTTTTTCATAATCAAACCAATTATCATTATTATTAGGTTTACACACACTGGAATTATCTAACGTAAAATTAGAGGCAAGACTACACATATGTATAAAGACTGTTGCTTCCAAAATATGGACCGTAATGTTGTTGTGAACCATTGTGAACATTACAAATTGCATATTTGGGCCTTTTTACTCTACTAAGAATCGAATCTTGTATATTTCCATTTTTTAATGAGAAAATAAAGCTATCATTAGTTTCTCCCCAACTATAATTATTAGCATCCCAAGCTAAAGGATTGTAACTATCGAAAATTTCGTCTGTTCCTTTAGCTTTCATGATCACTACAGTATTAGCATTAATACTTCCTCTTAAAATTAATTGAAACTCATGGATTGTTTGTTAAAGAATAAGTAATTAATTTACGATCAATCCAAGAGGAAATTTCGGCTACATGTTCATAAGTAATAATGGTGGAAAGTAGTTTCATTTGTTCTGCTATACGGGTAGGTAATTCTTGAGTTAAAATTATTATTGGTGGTAGAATAATTGATTCTACTAGTTGGTCTGGGGCTATTAAATACTGAGTCAAATCTTCCCAAAGTTGTTCGTCAAGAATTTTCTTATAAGGCCTTACTTTTCTCAAAACATTAGTACCAGGAATATTGAAATATCGAATTAGAGGTAAGCATTGTTGAAGAGTAGTTTTTAAAGTCGTAAAGTTTTCATTGGTCCATTCTTTAAGGTTTACAGGTAAAGTGGAATTCTGAGCAATTCCCCATTTTATAATATATTCCCAAATTATTACTTCTTCTAGTTACAAATCATCTCGTTTGAGGAGAGAAAACAATGAAGATTCTTGAAGAGAAACGAAATCTTCAGCATCAAAAATAAGATTTGGATACTTTGAAATAATGTCATTACAAAATTTTTTCAAATTTTTAAAATTATCTCCGTTAAAATTTGAACGATAAACTAGAAAGAAATGAGACTTTAACCATGAACTTTTAGTTTCTATAAGAAGATTCTCTAGTCTCTCGGTCAACTCTTTGATTTCAAATTCATTAGCTGTCATCATTAAATAAAAAATAAATCTTGTTTCAACTTTCCCGAAATTAACAATTCCACCATAAATATATCTTTTATAAAATAAATATTGATTATTATCTAATGTAACTCATTATTATAATTAATAATAAAATTTTAAAATAAAGAATAACTTACTTAAGAATAATATCAAAAATTGATCCAGTAATATTTAGTTTAGTAATTGTCTTAATATTATTTTCATTTGGGATGATATTTCTAACTCTTTATGAAAATAAGGTGAGTGACACTTCAACACATTATAGTGTGCTATAAGAGATTTTTCATTCTCAACTTCGATGATTACATTGTAATCATCTTTATCTTTAAGAAGTTCAATAAAATTTTGAGATAATTTGCCAAAAAACATAAAAGAAATTTTCTTTGTAAAAATGTGTTGTGCGTAAATGTTGAGTATAAAAATTGTCTCAAATCAAATTCTTGTAATGTTCTAAATAAAACGCTGTGCTATTTTTATATAATTAATTTAATCAAAAAAAATGAATGTATGATCTATGCATTAGCTATTGAAAATTTCACATCAGGAAATTTTAAGAGGCAAAAATTTCCAGAAAGTTTTCACTTTGAAAATTTCCACAAATTTTCATGAAAATTTGTGGAAACTTTTAGTCAAATAAAAAAGTTTTTTTATTATGTAACACAAAATGATCTTGTTCATTTACTACTAAATAATTATACTAAATGATCTTGTTTCAAACTCTTTCAAAAATTATTATTCATAAAATTTTAGGACAAAAACTTCAAAAACTTATTTATTTCTCAAGTAAGTATGTTGGTTTTTGACAAGGTTGGATGTCATTGCTATCTGTAAATATTCATTTGATGTTATGTTTCCAGGTCATCTGAGACTTCAACAAAACTTCTTGAGTTCCTTCATCAGGAAATTTTTTTTAGTGAAAACCTTTGAAAGTTAACATTAACATAAGTATTTTGCTATTTTTCAATATGTTATCCTTCAAAGGTCTTTGCTAACCTTTGAAGGTTATTGATTTTGATATTTTCACGTGGTGAAATTTTGCAAATATTATCATTTTCATAGTAAATTCATAATGATAACCTTTGAAGATTATCAATTTTGATATTTTCATGTGTGAAATTTTACAAATATTATCATTTTCATGATAAATTCATATCGATAACCTTCGAAGGTTATCAATTTTGATATCTTCATGTGCAAAATTTTGCAAATATTATTATTTTCATAGTAATTTCATAACAATAACCTTCATTTATGTTAGATATTTAAAATATATCATTTTGATGATTATCACTTGCATTATATTGCTACAATTTTCAATTGACATTGCACTGTCAACAATATCCTTCAAAGTTTATCACAGCAATTTTAATTGACATTGCACTGTTAACAATATCCTTTGAAGTTTATTATAGTGAAATTGCATTGTTAACAATATCTTTCGAAATTTATCACAACAATTAAGGTTAGTATTTATGTTCACTAAACATAATTATATTATTGTTATAATTTTATTAGATATTATATTGATCCAAAGTTTATTAGTATTAATACGTTTCTGAAACCTTTAATAATTTAATATATTATAGTTAAAGATTTTCAGAATAACTAGACAATTAACAAATATCTTTCAAAGTTTATATCACTGTATTTTGATTGACATCAATAGTTTTTAAAATTTATCATATCATTGATTATTGTTTTAAATTTTCTTCGAAGGTTAATGTTTTTTGCTTGTGTAACAAGATCAGTTATCTTATTTGACTTATTATTTAACTATTGTTACCTCTGTTTATTTTTATATTTATTAATTTATATATTTATATACTTTATTATTATATTCATATCTGTATTATTTTATTATTAACTATTATATATTTTATTATTATATATAGTATTACAGTAGATCAATTTCATAATCTGTAGTACAAATTAGATATTATTA